TAACACAGATAAACTATATTGTCGCAGTCGAGTGTTTATTGTCTTTGTTTTATCATTCAAAACGTTTATATGTTCTGTTTACTCAGTTACAGCTATAATAGCCATGCCTTTGTCCATATAAGGGATTTCCTGGAGGGTCATGAGTTTCGCTACTTCTGTGACTGGATATGTGGATTTTCTGTGTGAGGGCGCCCTCTGGCGTCCAGTATGAATGAAACAGACATCATGTGTTTATAGTGCTAATGGCCAATCCATCATTTTTGGGGTAATTTTTATTTATTTATTTTTTTTAATAAGTATCTGTTCAGGCACCGGAACCGTTTTAAAAGTATCGATTTGGCACCGGTATCGAAAAAACCCAAACGATACCCAACCCTAGGCATGATACAAATGTTTAGTGAACATCCATTCAGATACGTTTTTTTTTTTTCAGAGGTACACCTTTTACACAAACTTAAAATCAAATCCAGTTGCATCTGCACCCAATAGCTGTAGTGTGAAAACGACCATCTCTTCAGGAAGTAGGTCAGCTGAAATGGCCTCTGAACTGCGGAGGGGTGCTGTGTCTGTCGTCTATATTGTATTCCCTCGCTCCCCTGTGGGTCAGTGTTTCTGCACAACAAATTCTTTGAGTGAGTTCGAGACCTGCTGCGATCAGCTAGAACATTCTGCACTGCAACAACAGCTTGTGTTCCCAAAACAGCATGTCTCACGCACACGCTTTCTCACTGACAGTAACCGTACAGCCGTTAGCCGATTACCTGCCGGCTCCTTAATACCGCATTATGTCGGAGTCCGACTGAGATTTGGATTAGTTTGTTCCGTTTGATTTGTTTGTGCCAATAAGAGGCATTTACTGAAAGAACATCTCTCTGGAATGCTTGAAAATCAGTCCTGAATTCTGAGCTGTGCTTAATTGTTTTTGTTTGTTTGTGGGTCATAGAGGAGCGAGCCAGGATCTATTCTTCAGACAGCGATGAAGGTTCTGACGAAGACAAGGCCCAGCGGCTGATGAAGGCCAAGAGACTGGACAGTGATGAGGTGAAACTTTCAGTCCAAGTAGACAGTTTATTGTCAAATAAAAAGCTTCAGAAATGTAATGGTTATAATGTCAACCATGAGCACAACAGTGACTGGCCAGTTTTTCAGCAGTCTGGGTTACAGATGTATATTTCCCATTCATATTCATCAGTAAAGCGATCTAAGCCTTGAACCAAACTAAACAGCTTTAAATAGCTTTCATTTCTGACATTTACTCACTCACATGTTGTTCCAAACCCATAAGACTTCCGATCATCTTCAAAACATGAAAGAATACTAAAAAGATCTCATTTATCATATCTGTCCATCCATTAAAGTCCATGCAACCAAAACTTTCAAAAAGACATTATAAAAGTAAACCACCATGCTTGTTTGACGCATGAACCTCAGTGGTTTTTGAATTTCTGTTTGATCAATATTCATATGCGAATAAAAGCCTAAACTAAAATTGATCATGTATCTTCAGAAGACTTTATGAACTTTTCGTTTTATGACTTTGAGTCTTTATAAACTTTGAAGCTTGAAAAGTTTGGTTTCACTTGGATAGCCACAATTTAAAAATATCTTTGTGTTTTGAAGATGAACAAAAGTCTTGTGGGTTTTGACTGAAATGAGGGTGGGTAAAGTATTACAGAATTTTCAGTTTTGGTTGAATTATGCCTAGAAGATGAATCAACTTTTTTTCTTTTCTTTTGGTAACAGCAACTTAGTTCTGATTGGTAAATCCTGCTTAAGGATTGAACATAGTGAAGTATTTCTAAAATGAATTCCTGTAGGGAGAAAATTAATTTGTTCTTTTTAAAGGTTAATAGATTAGCCAATCATAACAGAGATCATTTACATATAGAAGTCTTAAAGATACAGTAGCAGAAGCAGTCTGTTTAATTCTAAGGCTCTGAGAGGCTGAAAATGGTCAAGAAAAGATCAATTCTGAATGATTTTGGTCTAAGACACCTTAACATAAATGGACTTTAGGGGACTAAAATGTATTTTGGGAATTAATATTTATCCTTTCTTTCAGGAGGGAGAGAACTCTGGAAAGCGGAAGGCAGAGGAAGATGAGGAATCTGCTGCTAAGAAACCCAAAAAATATGTCATCAGTGATGAAGAGGAGGAGGAAGACGAGTGATTTTTCTTTGTTTTTTTTATCGTTTTGTGATTGGTTAATCAGAATAAACTAGGTGGTTAATCCAGAAAAACAAACTTGCAGTTATTTGTTTGTATATTTTATAAAGACTGAAGATGCTCATCATTACAACACATCAATAAACAGCAATAACCTCGATGAAGGTTTAAACTGTCAAACCCTTTAAAAACAGTAAAGGTTGGGGTTTATGTTAACAAAAATGCCTCCATGAAATTCCTACACAGTTAAAGTTGATTATTTTTATACGCCTTCTGTTCAGTGATTATTTTTTTCTTCCTGAAAATAAAGATAAAACACAAATGATACCCATTTCAGACTTGTAATGTTTTTTAAAGAAGTCTCTTATGCTCATCAAGGCTGCATTTATTTGAACAAAAATACAGAAAAAAACGGTAATCTTGCAAAATGTTATTACAGTATAAAATAATGGTTTCTATTTTAATATCCTTTAAAATATAATTTATTTCTGTGATGCAAAGCTGAATTTCCATCGGCCATTACTCCAGTATAAAGTCTCACATGGTCCTTAAGAAATCATTCTAATATGCTGATTTATTATTAGAATTATTAATAAGTTGTGCTGCCAAATATTTGTTTGGAAACTGCGATACTATTTTCAGGATTCTTTGATGAATAAAAAGTAAAAATGAACAGCATTTATTCAAAAATATAAATCTTTTCTAACAATATAAATCTTTGCTAGCACTTCTTATTAATTGAAAACATCCTTGCTGAATAAAAGTTTTAATTGCTTTCAAAAAAACTCATTTATAATATCTGTCCATCCATTAAAGTCCATGCAACCAAAACTTTCAAAAAGACATTATAAAAGTAAACCACCATGCTTGTTTGACGCATGAACCTCAGTGGTTTTTGAATTTCTGTTTGATCAATATTCATATGCGAATAAAAGCCTAAACTAAAATTGATCATGTATCTTCAGAAGACTTTATGAACTTTTCGTTTTATGACTTTGAGTCTTTATAAACTTTGAAGCTTGAAAAGTTTGGTTTCACTTGGATAGCCACAATTTAAAAATATCTTTGTGTTTTGAAGATGAACAAAAGTCTTGTGGGTTTTGACTGAAATGAGGGTGGGTAAAGTATTACAGAATTTTCAGTTTTGGTTGAATTATGCCTAGAAGATGAATCAACTTTTTTTCTTTTCTTTTGGTAACAGCAACTTAGTTCTGATTGGTAAATCCTGCTTAAGGATTGAACATAGTGAAGTATTTCTAAAATGAATTCCTGTAGGGAGAAAATTAATTTGTTCTTTTTAAAGGTTAATAGATTAGCCAATCATAACAGAGATCATTTACATATAGAAGTCTTAAAGATACAGTAGCAGAAGCAGTCTGTTTAATTCTAAGGCTCTGAGAGGCTGAAAATGGTCAAGAAAAGATCAATTCTGAATGATTTTGGTCTAAGACACCTTAACATAAATGGACTTTAGGGGACTAAAATGTATTTTGGGAATTAATATTTATCCTTTCTTTCAGGAGGGAGAGAACTCTGGAAAGCGGAAGGCAGAGGAAGATGAGGAATCTGCTGCTAAGAAACCCAAAAAATATGTCATCAGTGATGAAGAGGAGGAGGAAGACGAGTGATTTTTCTTTGTTTTTTTTATCGTTTTGTGATTGGTTAATCAGAATAAACTAGGTGGTTAATCCAGAAAAACAAACTTGCAGTTATTTGTTTGTATATTTTATAAAGACTGAAGATGCTCATCATTACAACACATCAATAAACAGCAATAACCTCGATGAAGGTTTAAACTGTCAAACCCTTTAAAAACAGTAAAGGTTGGGGTTTATGTTAACAAAAATGCCTCCATGAAATTCCTACACAGTTAAAGTTGATTATTTTTATACGCCTTCTGTTCAGTGATTATTTTTTTCTTCCTGAAAATAAAGATAAAACACAAATGATACCCATTTCAGACTTGTAATGTTTTTTAAAGAAGTCTCTTATGCTCATCAAGGCTGCATTTATTTGAACAAAAATACAGAAAAAAACGGTAATCTTGCAAAATGTTATTACAGTATAAAATAATGGTTTCTATTTTAATATCCTTTAAAATATAATTTATTTCTGTGATGCAAAGCTGAATTTCCATCGGCCATTACTCCAGTATAAAGTCTCACATGGTCCTTAAGAAATCATTCTAATATGCTGATTTATTATTAGAATTATTAATAAGTTGTGCTGCCAAATATTTGTTTGGAAACTGCGATACTATTTTCAGGATTCTTTGATGAATAAAAAGTAAAAATGAACAGCATTTATTCAAAAATATAAATCTTTTCTAACAATATAAATCTTTGCTAGCACTTCTTATTAATTGAAAACATCCTTGCTGAATAAAAGTTTTAATTGCTTTCAAAAAAAGAAAGAATAAAAATGTACTGACCCCAAACGTTTGAACTGTAGTGTATATTGTTAAAAAAGATGTGTATTTTAAATAAATCCTCTTCTTTTTAACTTATTATTCATCAAAGAATCCTGAAAAAAGTATCACAGGTTCCCAAAAAATATTAAGCAGCACAACAGTTTCCAGCACTGATAATAAATCAGCATATTAGAATGATTTCTTAAGGATCATGTGAGACTGAAGACTGGAGTAATTCTGAAAATTCAGCTTTGATCACAGGAATAAATTAGATTTTAATGTATATTAAAATAGAAAAAAGTTTTTTACATCATAATATTTCACAATATTATTTTTTTCCCTTGTATTTTTGATCAAATAAATGCAGCCTTGATGAGCATAAGAAACTCCTGTAAAAAACATAAAAAATCGTTCTGATCCCTTTGACCGGTAGTGTGTGTGTGAGTGTAGAAATTATATTTAAAATGACCAAACAATTTAAGTAAACAATTAACTAAAATGTGTTAAAAGTATATTTTTGTATACATTTTACAATCTATAATGAAATGTTCATTTTGTGTGTGTGTAGATTAATTTGAGCCGTTCTTTTTATTTACGTCCTGGTAAAATGATCAATCTAATTATAACCTGTAGTTTATGAAGGCTGTTGGGTGAGAGGACATTCATCACAGGTGCAGTTTTATTATTGACATGGAGAGTGTCTGTTTGAGTTGGTGTGAATTTTCTTAGCTGTGCCTGCTGAATCTTCCGGAGAGAGAGATTTGAAAGGTGGTTTATGTACAGATATCGCCCCAGAATGACGCACACATACACACACTTGTACTTCCTGGAAGGTAATACAGGCCTTACTCTGCGTTTGTTCTCTTTTATTACTGCAGAGCTTCTGATCTGTCAAATCATCTCTCTACAGCTGCAGACGCATTTGACCAGCTTGCTGTTTAGCTTTTTTCTCTTTCCTTTGGTGGTGTTTGCTGACAGTATCATTATTATTATTTCTCGTATTTAGCATTACTGAACTTAAAGGGGTCATATGGTGCGATTTCAATTTTTCCTTTCTCTTTGGAGTGTTACAAGCTCTTGGTGCATAAAGAAGATCTGTAAAGTTGCAAAGACTAAAGTCTCAAATCGAAAGAGATATTCTTTATAAAAGTTAAGAGTCAACCACGCCTACCTAAAACGGCTCATTCTAACACGCCCCCACATATCTACCTCACTATGTGGGAAGATTCGCATAACGCCGCCCAAATGTTCACGCAAAAAAAGAAGGCGTAACTTTTATTCTCGCTGAAGTATTGTTG